TCAGCTATGTCTAAGAGCATGATTTGCTACCATATCATCTTAGCCCGCTGCCACCGCTGCTTAATATTGAGCGACTTGTTTATTCGACTGAATTATTCGACTGAAGTATTCGACTGAACTTTTCGACTGAATTATTCGACTGGTTTATTCGACTGGATTATTCGACTGAACTAACTGACTGATTTTATCGACTGGACGAGGCCACATGAAAATGTCAAATACCTCATCCCCCCCCCCCCCCCCCCCCGCCCCACCCCATCCCCTTTCTTCGTTCATATCATATATAGGGACTCTATTCTTTTCGAGGCGGACAAGGACAGCTGTCTAGTCGTTCGGATGGGACGAAAAACCGAGGTCCCGTGTATACATTGGAGTGGACGTAAAAGATCCCTTTGACAGATGGAATTCGATATAAGAGTAGGCCGTAGTGCCGCTGTCCGGGCAAAATTTCCCTCATCGCACAGTGTATGGCGTCTGCCCGTCTTCATTAGCCCAGTTCCAACAGAACAGAAGGACGTTAAACCCCATTTCATTTCTTTTCATTTCTTGAAACTAGTTGGGAAGCCCCCCGGTCCCTACCCCATGCCCCCGGCTCCTTCAGCTATGGCTACGAGCATGATTTGCTACTATATTATCTTAGCCCGCTGCCACCGCTGCTTAATATTGAGCGACTTGTTTATTCGACTGAATTATTCGACTGAACTATTCGACTGGTTTATTCGACTGAACTTTTCGACTGGTTTATTCGACTGGATTATTCGACTGAACTAACTGACTGGTTTTATCGACTGGACGAGGCCACATGAAAATATCAAATACCTCATCCCCCCCACCCCCGCCCCACCCCATCCCCTTTCTTCGTTTATATCATATATAGGGACTCTATTCTTTTCGAGGCGGACAAGGACAGCTGTCTAGTCTTTCGGATGGGACGAAAAACCGAGGTCCCGTGTATACATTGGAGTGGATGTAAAAGATCCCTTTGACAGATGGAATTCGATATAAGAGTAGGCCGTAGTGCCGCTGTCCGGGCAAAATTTCCCTCATCGCACAGTGTATGGCGTCTGCCCGTCTTCATTAGCCCAGTTCCAAGCAGAACAGTAGGACGTTAAAACCCCATTTCATTTCTTTTCATTTCTTGAAACTAGTTGGGAAGCCCCCCGGTCCCTACCCCATGCCCCCGGCTCCTTCAGCTATGGCTACGAGCATGATTTGCTACTATATTATCTTAGCCCGCTGCCACCGCTGCTTAATATTGAGCGACTTGTTTATTCGACTGAATTATTCGACTGAACTATTCGACTGGTTTATTCGACTGAACTTTTCGACTGAATTATTCGACTGGTTTATTCGACTGGATTATTCGACTGAACTAACTGACTGGTTTTATCGACTGGACGAGGCCACATGAAAATGTCAAATACCTCATCCCCCCCACCCCCGCCCCACCCCATCCCCTTTCTTCGTTCATATCATATATAGGGACTCTATTCTTTTCGAGGCGGACAAGGACAGCTGTCTAGTCGTTCGGATGGGACGAAAAACCGAGGTCCCGTGTCCACATTTACGTGGTCGTAAAAGATCCCTTGACAGATGGAATTCGATATAAGAGTAGGCCGTAGTGCCGCTGTCCGGGCAAAATTTCCCTCATCGCACAGTGTATGGCGTATGCCCGTCTTCATTAGCCCAGTTCCAAGCAGAACAGTAGGACGTTAAAACCCCATTTCATTTCTTTTCATTTCTTGAAACTAGTTGGGAAGCCCCCCGGTCCCTACCCCATGCCCCGGCTCCTTCAGCTATGTCTACGAGCATGATTTGCTACCATATTATCTTAGCCCGCTGCTTAATATTGAGCGACTTGTTTATTCGACTGAATTATTCGACTGAAGTATTCGACTGGTTTATTCGACTGAACTTTTCGACTGAATTATTCGACTGGTTTATTCGACTGGATTATTCGACTGAACTAACTGACTGATTTTATCGACTGGACGAGGCCACATGATAATGTCAAATACCTCATCCCCATCGCCCCCCTAACCCAACATATCATATATAGGGACTCTATTCTTTTGGAGGTGGACAAGGACAGATGTCTAGTCGTTCGGATGGGACGAAAAACCGAGGTCCCGTGTACACATTGGCGTGCACTTAAAAGATGGGGGCATATGGGGATGAGGGAAAAAGTCAAGCATGACTTTATTAAGCCGCGGTGGCAATAACTAAGATAACACCTTAAAGTTTTAATTTGAACAATCAAATTTGAACATGAGGGCACATAAAAAATAAACAAAAACAATGATAAAAGATATTGGAATTAGTGCGTTTTTTCTTTAACTTATACAGATTACAAACGATTCCAAAATTTTAATAAGCCATCGACCGGTTTATTCGACTGACTATTTGTTTTGGACTTAGGGTCGACTCAATGTGGGCGTATAAAAAACTACTTTCAATTTATTTTATTTATCGAAGGCTCGGATTAGCCCATACGGAGCACGTGATTTCGCTGAAGTCATGGTCATCCAGCGAATTCCTTATTGCTCACTTGATTGTCCCTTATTGTCTGGTGAGTGGTCTTATTGTATGGTAGCCATTGTATGGCAGCTTGATCTCGGCCCGGAGAAGAAATTTAACACGTGTTTTAGCATTGTTATCAATACGACTTTGGTTTATTTTTAAGGTAGGCTAATTTCAATATAATAATATGATAGAATAGAATTTTATTACATCGTAACGTCCTTTGAAAGTTTGAGTAGGGTTACAGATGACACATGTACAACTAGAAGTAATTATAAACATATTCAGAGCGGGTAGACTAATCACCGGAATTCATTTACAATCACCGGAATTCACTTCTAAAATCCCCGATTCCTCCCACAAAACTCACTTATTTTAAATGTATAATACATTATGATCTCTCCACAGGCCAGATAAAGGCGCTGTAGGTGAATTTATTTGAAAGACTACCGGAATTCATTTCAAATATGCATCATGATTATGATAACGTAGGGCGCGTCGTATTACTATTAGTTTACCCAATAGGCCGAACTCCAAAATAACACATAATAACAATTTGCGCGAATTACCCAATAACTCCAAAATAACAGCCAATAACCCCAAAAATGTTGACTGTGGAATCACAATATAACAATTTAGTTGAATTTAAGAAGCCTCGCTGATTTAGTATCATGCGTATTCATTACCAGGCTAATTCATTACTGGTAAAATCGGCGTATTCATGACCAGTATATTATAGGGTTGATTGGTCGGTATATAAAGGTGCTAATTAGTACTCATCAGTGTGGATAGAAGCCTATACGATAATTATTATAGATGATTTTGATGATTGGTGTTTGATGTATTAAAATTGTTTTTTTTATGATTGAGTTGTTGTTTAAATTATTTAATCTTAAGCTTGAGATTGTAAATCCTGGCTTTGTTATTTTGATTGGTCGGTGTATAAAGGTGCTAATTAGTACTCATCAGTGTGGATAGAAGCCTATACGATAATTATTAATTAATGATTGGTGTTTGATGTATTAAAATTGTTTTTTTTATTATTGAGTTGTTGTTTAAATTATTTAATCTTAAGCTTGAGATTGTAAATCCCGGCTTTGTTATTTTGTATTTTAAACTTCAAACCAATTCCGATGCAAGCTTGGAATTTGTATATATTTCGAATATCACCATTTGATATCGATATCTCAGATAGGCCTACATATCAAGTTAACTATAGCTCATAGAGTTATATATATGGCGTTTTTGTGAGTCGATTAGATTAGGTTTTGATTTGCTAGTACGATTTGGTATGATTTCGATTTGATTAGCTATGGTCCACAAATGTGAAATTTGATAATTACGATTTGGTAAGATGGCTGCCATCACGGACACCGATCAGAAAAAAAATTGTCTCTGCTAATTATTGATGACTTGTTAAAGACAAATGAAGGTTATCTACGCAAAAAAGGAAAATGGTTGCCGTTAGAAACAATCTCCTATGTCCAACAAGTTCAAGTATTTTTTTGAAAACTGAAGTGACAAAACATGTAAAAAGTTTACTGAGAAAACCTAGGATCGAGGAATATATTGAAAAAACTGTAAATGAATAAAATTGCTTAGAGGTGATCTAACATTCTTGTGGACTATAAAGTTAACATTAAACACGTCAAATGCGTTTTAAAAAAACATTTTTTATGGAGAAAAACAACAATAAGCATTAAAAATTACTTACGACGTCGAACATTCCGCCATTTTGAAAAAGTCAAATCTAATCGCCTAAACACCTCCTGGGACGATTAGGTCGATTTGCCTAATCAGTTGAGTTAAATCGTTTCACAAATGTAACGATTAGCATAATCAACTTGGTTCACAAATGCGTATAATAGCTAATTGGTCTAATCTAATCGGTTCACAAAAACGCCTATAGAAACTAGAGTCCGCACTGATCACGTGACTCCCATGACTACAACATTAAAGGTTTGTGCCGGAATGGAGCGACGGCCGCCATGTTACTGTTAGTTCCGGGGAGTATAAACGTAAATACCCGGATGTTCACTATATTATCGCATCAATCAATCTTTGTCAAACTGATTTAAAACGTGCACAAATATTAATTTTTTAAATTATCTCACCCAAATATTTATTGTTTGATAAAAATAATAATAAAGATCCATGGACCGACTTATCTCCGGGCCCCTCTTTCCACGTAAAGGTTATAGAACAATTTAATTTGACACGTCAGGCATCTCGACCGCAGTGTCTCTACAGTACTAATAAATACTTTACCTTCGCTTTTTCTTTTAATTTTTTTATTTAAATATTGATCTTTTAAATTAGTGCAATGTCCACAATATGTATTCCTATACAGTAAATTTGTTAAATTGTTTTAGAAATTTATGGAACTAATTAATAAAGAGTGTAGAGAAATGAATGTTGTTTTTTAACAATAAAAGTGAACAGAAATCAATAGCCCGTAGCGGTATTTTTATTTATTTGTTAATTATTTTATTTTAGGAAATTAGGGAATGAAAAGTGAAGAAAAATTAATAGCCAACGTAAAATGTTGTATTTCTATTTAACGGTATTTATTTTTTAGTTTGCTTCACTTGTTGAGGCCTGTGTCATAGGCCTAGAGTGATTAGAAAAAAAAACACCTCCTACTAGGTGAAAAAAACAACAACTTTAACTGTAGGTTCATTAGAGTTAGAACATATGGTGGCTGTATAATTTAATAATATATTTTTTTTAAAAAAAGGTGATAAACGTGTCAAATTGTGTGTGTGTGTGTGGGGGGGGGGTAGTCGCCCAGGGCCTAGTTGTCTGAGGTTGAGTAATGAAGAGTGTGTTTGTTTTCGGGGAGCCTTGCAGAGACAGCGTCTCGTTCGGATGGGACGAAAAACCGAGGTCCTGTGTACACCTTGGCGTACACGTAAAAGAACCCTTGCCAGTTGGAATTCAATTCCTGTCCGAGAAAAATTTCCCTTATACTTATAGCACACTGTATGGCGTATGACCGTCTTCATTAGGCCTATCCCGGTAGGACGTTAAACCCCATTTCATTCATTAATTCATTAATTTGTTTGTTTTCGCTTGTTCAGCTGAACTTGTTTGTGTTTAGAAAAATATTTATGACATGAAAATTTATTATATATCTTAAGTTTCTTATAAAGATTTAGTCTAAAGGGTTTCTTTTATTTAAAAATGACTCGATTGTTATTGACATTTACATTGGCAACTGAGCTTGCTTGACCCTACACCCTAACCCAGACTTGCTAGAGAAGAATGGACCGATTTTTGATAGGTAGGCCTACAGTTGTTGATAAATCAATCTAACCTATGAAACGCTATTCCACTACCCTTTTTTCGGGTGTTTGAGCAGCCAAAACAGCAGCAACTTTCTGGCATATTGATTCTAAAACACAATTTAAAAAATCTAATGGTCGTCAGCGTCAACTCCCCGGAACTAACATGGCGGACAAGGCCCCATATCGGCACGCTGTCACGTGATCAGTGCAGACTCTAGTTTAGTTTCTATATATAACTCTATGCTATAGCCTAATTCCAATGGATCCTTGTATCGCTTGCCGTTACACCGTGCGTCCGAGACAAGAAGGTCTCCAGTGTGAAGAGTGTAATCTATGGCAGCATAGAAAATGTACAGGTATGTATTTATAATTTCACAGATTTTGCTTGCTTTCATTATTATTGAAATAAATCATAAGTATTGAAATAATTACACGAGTTTTGCTAGCTATACATACTCAAACTTATATTCATAAAATATTTAACCCATTCACTAAATTTTAAATAATTTTTGTTCTCTTTAGATATATCCCAGGCAGCATATAGAAGAGCGGTGAAAGGGTTAGAAGAGATTAAATGGACATGTACTCCTTGTATAAATGCCGTAAGTAACTTTTAAAAAATCAACAGAACCGAAACATCAATTTCTATAAGCAACGAAACATCTTTCATATTCTTACCGTATTTAATATTCTTACCACCGTATTTGATGTTTTAATTTAGTCAACTTAAATATTCTTACCATACCGTATTTTACGTTATTATTTAGGCTATTCCTGTTGCTGTTCATGAAATTACCGCTACTTTCGACGAAGAAGAACCTATGGATACTAGTGTTGGACGTGAACAAGAAGAATTGCCTCTTATGGAGACCAGTTCCGAGGCTGTCCCTCTGGAAAGATCCTTCGTTTTACCCGAACCAATACTGGATGATTCGATTGACGACGATGCTCCCGTCTTTGATGTACCCGCAGCTGAGGGCCCCCGTTACATCATTCTCGAAGGTGGTACCGAGAGGGGAAACGTGAAGTTGCTGGACATGGAGGATTACTCCTACATCTTTAGGGTATGTAATTATTTTATATTTAGTGTATTTACTTTATGCATTTGAATATATTAAAAGCTAACTGTTGTTTTGTGTGTTTAACAATTGAATATAATAAACATAATTTAGTGTATTTACTTTGAATATATATATATTGTGTGTTTAACAATATAATAAACTTAATTTTTCAAAAACAATCAGCTAATGGAAACATAAATTGGCGCTGTGTTCACCATCCGAAAGTGGACTACTGTCGGGCGACAGTAATACAGGCAGGGGATGACTTTCGTCCAGGTTTGAAGAACCACAACCATCCCCCCCAGCCCTTTCTACATATTGCCGTCCAGATAAAGGCACAAGTAAGTATATTTCAATTTCACCGCTAAAACATTATACATTATAAATATTGAATCACTATACTATATAAATATTAAATCACTGAAAACATCAACAAAATGTAAAAAAACTATTAAATGTTTATTTTACATTTTACAGGTCCGTAAGAATTCCGAAAAGGACGTCTTTACCACGTCGTCAGCCCAGGTAGTTGAAGAGATCTTGCTAGACCTGACATCCGAGACGGCTCCTTTTCACAGCAGACCCAAAATGTCCACATTGGTCCGGAGTGTCAATCATTATCATTGAATAACACACAATTAAACTATTTTTTTTTATTTTCTTATTTATAGATCGAAACAAAATTTGTAGAAATAAATATGGGTAATTTTTTAAGAAAAGATATCAAAGATGGTACCAACAGGCATCTGGTTTTAGCCACTGATAACCAGTTGCAGCTGTTAAGTAAAATGAAGGTCCTTTTCGTCGACGGCACTTTTCGGGTTGTGAAAAAGCCTTTCACTCAGCTCTTTTCGATTCATGGCTTTATTACTAAAGGCTCGATGACTAAACAAGTTCCATTGGTATATTGTTTGATGTCAAACAGAAGCAAGGCAGATTACTGCAAGGTATGTTTTAATTTATTTATTTCATATAGTAAACATTAACAATGTAAGTATATTCAATCTCATCGCTAAAACATTATAAATATTGAATTAATATACTATTAGATTATAGTATTAACTCATTGAAAACAATGCTTATTATATTTTTATGTAAATTTCAGTTATAATAATTTTATATTTCTAGGTTTTTGAAGCTATTAAGGAGTTGTGTCCAGTTTTAGCTGTACGAGAATTCGTGGCTGACTTCGAAATAGCTACATGGCAGGCCTTGAAGGATACCTTTCCAGGAACAGCCATTAAAGGTTGTGTTTTCCACTGGTCGCAAGCAGTCTTTCGCAAGATCCAGGAAAATGGTCTGCAGGTATGTATAGGCAACTTCTAAAATAAACAATATTCTGTAATCATTATCAATTATCAATAATCATTATCTTTTGTATTCGTGGTAATTGTAACTAAAGTAAAGTAAAGTTATTACAATTCTAGAAAAAATAAATGAACATAATGAATGATAATTTTTTAAAATTTTTATTATCATTTCAGGTTGCTTACAATGAGCGAGGGGATGCTTACAATTTATTGCGTCAACTCATGGCCTTACCATTCCTTCCTGAAGAGAAAATTCATGGTGCCTTTATGGACATGTTCCAGAAAACAGAAGATGAGAGAGTGATTAGTGTCCTTGAGTACGTGGAGAACCAATGGATATCGAACCGAGTGTTTAGTGCAAAGAGTTGGTCCATTTTTGTGCGCTCCGTTCGCACGAATAATGACGTCGAGTGGTGGCATAACCGAATCAACTCTAGACTGACCACTCGGGGACCAGTTCCATTTTATTTATTGTTTGCGGAACTACATAAAGAAGCACAGAAACTCAAAATGGATATGGTGATGCTCACCGAAGGAAAAATTAGCAGATGCCAATAGGCCGAACTCCAAAATAACACTAAAAATCAATTTGCGTCGTGTTACAAAATAACTCCAAAATAACAACCAATAACTTCAAAAATATTGACTGTTTAAACACAAAATTAGTTTGTAATATGAGCAGTTGCCGAGAAATTGGCAATTTTGCATGAGCCACTATTTACGCTAGTTTGCCTGTAAAAGAGTCAATTATTATTGGATTTTCATAAAAGGAACACCATTTGATGCGTAATGTCAATTTTAACTAGGTCAAACCAATTTAACATTTTCAATGTCACCGGAAATGACGTAATTTGGGCAAAAACTGTATTTATAGCCTTCGAAACAAATAATTTATTCAAATGAGTCGTATTTGTTATTTGTTTAAAATTTTGATATTTGATTCAAATCAACTAATAGAATGAACTCATACGATCATACAGATATCAAAAAATGGTTTCTACCTTGTTCAGTTGCGGAGAAATAGACGATTTTCAACAGGCAACTTTTCAAGTTTTTTGGTCCATAAAAGTGTCAATTATTATTCGATTGTCATAAAATTTTCACTGTGTGATACCTAATGCCATTTACGATTTCATTCAAGTAATTTAAGATTTTCATTATCACCTGAAGTAATGTCATTTTGGCAAAAACTGTATTTTGAGCCTTTAAAACGGATATTTTATTCAAATGAGTCGGATTTGTAATGTTTTTAAAATTATGATATTTCATTCCAATCAACAAATAGATTGAACCCATATGATCATACAGATACCAAAATATGGTTTCTAACTTGTACGGATGCAGAGAAATAGACGATATTCTACAAGTCACTGTTCAAGGTTTTTGGTCTATGAAAGTGGCAATTAATATTCGATTTACATAAAATTTTCACCATGTGATGCCATATGCAATTTCTGATTTTATAACATTTTCATTATCTCCGGAAGTAATGTAATTTTGTCAGGATCACTTACATGTAACAAATGTATACAATTAATTGATATTGCTGGATTTTGTTGAGTCTGCGTACATTGAAGGAATGCCTAAAAAACATTCAGAACAGAATTTTGATTTCGGTCAATATATAACCAAATAATAGTCTGTAAAGGAATTTAAATTAACTGCCAAACATTTTTAGCACAACGGCGCTACCTGACGAGGTAACGAGACACTTGGCAGTTAATTTTAATTCTGTTGCAAACCTATTATTAAAACTTACAAATATTTAAAAATGTTGCATAAGAAAAGAAAAGGCAAGATATAACCAAATGATAGTCTGTAAAGGAATTCAAATTAACTGCCAAACATTCTATGCACAAAGGTGCTACCTGACGAGGTAACAAGACACTTGGCAGTTAAATTTTAATTCCGTTACAGACCGATTATTAAAACTTACAAATATGTTGACAGTGGATTCAGGTGTTTATATGTTTTCAACGCGAATTCCGGTGATTTTATGTGTTTTAAAGTAATTCAATGTTAATATTAATGGAAAATATAAGTAAATAGGAAGATTGTACGGGCAAATTCTGAAATCTCTAAGTGAATTCTGGTGAATTCCGGTGTTTGTAAGTGAATTCCGGTGTATGGATTTGGTCAATGAAATGAAATGAAATGGGGTTTAACGTCCTACTGTTCTGCTCCTAAACTAGGCTAATGAAGACGGGCATACGCCATACAGTGTGCTATGAGGGAAATTTTGCCCGGGCAGCGGCGCTACGGCCTAGTCTTATATCGAATTCCAACTGCCAAGGGATCTTTTACGTGCACGCCAATGTGTACACGATACCTCGGTTTTTCGCCCCATCTGAAAGACTAGACAGCTGTCCTTGTCAGGCCCTCCGTCCTGCATCACTGACAAGGGGAAACCACGTCGGAAAATCTGGATGAATTTTCTCGGCCAATGCAGGGACGGAACACCCGACCTCCAGGCTAGCGAGCCAGCAGATTTGGTCAAATAATGTTGTAAGTTAGGACTGAAATGCTGATAAAAGAGGCTTTTTGATGAATTACAAATAGGTTCTACACATAATTGTTTTAAAACATCTCAAATTTGACGAGTTACAAGATTTTCTCCACATATGTCGAGTAATCTCCCTTTAATGGTCAAAATATCAGATTTACAAATCATATTAAATGTAAATATTGTCATTGTATAAAGTGACAAATAACATACATCACCACATAATAAACTATCATAACACGAGAATACTCTGAACAAAGACAATTATTTGTCAGCGGAACTTATTTAAATTGATTTCATTTATTTATTGCAAAACAAGTTACGATGTCGATGACAGAAAGTGACAATCGACACAATTTGCAAGTATAAATAAATAAATATAGCTATAATATTAAATTGTTTATTGCACTATATATACCATAATATGTTTGATGCATATAATTACTGTTTTAATAAACTATTAATTAATCTCTAATTACAATACATTACAACGAATTGCAACGAAAGTATACATAAGTTTCTTGTCAACAAAAATCACATACACGAGTTATCTCCCATGAACCTCCGATTTGAACAACAACCAGTGACGCTTCTTAAACTCATACTAAATTGTTATTTTGTGTTTCCACAGTCAATATTTTTGAAGTTATTGGTTGGTATTTTGGAGTTATTGGGTAACTTGACGCAAATTGTTTTTTAGTGTTATTTTGGAGTTCGGCCTATTGGGTAATACGACGCGCCCTACGTTATCGTAACTATGATGCATATATTTGAAATGAATTCCGGTAGTCTTTCAAATAAATATACCCACAGGGCCTTTATTTGGCCTGTGGGGATATCAAAATAGTAATTCGTTACATTATAATGTATTATACATTTAAAATAAATTAGTTTTGTGGGAGGAATCTGGGGTTTTCGAAGTGAATTCCGGTGATTATATGTGAATTCCGGTGATTGTAAATGAATTCCAGTGAATTCCGGTGATTAGTCGGGCCCATTTAGAGCACCCCCAAACCATCAGACAGTAGTATAAAACCCACATAGGCCTACAGTCTACATATTATATTAAAATACAAAACAAAACGAACAAAGTATAAAATATAAGGGCGCTATTGCACTTTCGCACCTCTACCATCATGAGGGTAAGTGTTAGATATTATGAAACCGGGCCGATTTTAATAGATTCTATAAAGCGAGCATAATTTAAGCCCCGCTCTTTGTTGTTTAGGCCCTTCCCACTTTTTTGAAGGTTAAGGTTGAAAGGGGCCGTTTATTGTTAGGCCTAATGATGAACATAAAACTTATTCTCCCTGAATTTGAGAATACATGTACTATCGCTGGATCTTTCTATGAGTCTGAGGCAAGACGATTTCCAATACCACCTAATATGTCTACAGAAGAATTTCAATCTGATGAAAATATGTGGTATAGGGCCATGAATTTCCCTTTTTCTAGGATACATAAAAATAGTATTTTTAATTTATATAATAAACAGACTCTTTTGTTTTGTTTTTTATGGAAATTAATTGAAAATATATTTCAAAATCTTTCATACATACATAAGAAAAAGACTCACTATAAAGCGATGACGATTGAGTTCAATGTGTGGTATAAGGCAATGATTTTCTCTATTTCTAGGATATATAGGATATTATTCTTAATTTATATAATAAAATCATTCAAATATCTTTTTTTCATGGAAATTATTTGAAAAAAATACTCCAAAATCTTTTAAACATAAGAAAAAGACTCCCTATAAAGCGAGGCCGATTGGGTTCTATGGAAATGATTTTCTCAATTTCTTGGATATATAGGATAATATTCTTAATTTATATAATAAATCGCTCAAATATCTTTTTTTTTTAAATGGAAATTAATTTAAAAAATACACTAAAATCTTTAAAACTTAAGAAAAAGATTCACTATAAAGCGAGGCCGATTGTGTTCAATGTTTGGTAAAAGGCAATGATTTTCTCTATTTCTAGGATATATAGGGTAATATTCATAATTTATATAATAAAATCACTGCAAATATGTTTTTTTATGGAAATTAATTGAAAAAAATACTCCAAAATCTTTTAAACATAAGAAAAAGACTCACTATAAAGCGAGGCTGATTGGGTTCTATATGTGGTATAAGGCAATTTTTTTCTCAATTTCTTGGATATATAGGATAATATTCTTAATTGATATAAGAAATCACTCAAATATCGTTTTTTTTAGAATGGAAATTAATTTAAAAAATAACCCAAAATCTTTCAAACTTAAGAAAAAGATTCACTATAAAGCGAGGCCGATTGGGTTCTATATGTGGTATAAGGCAATGATTTTCTCTATATCTAAGATATATAGGATAATATTCTTAATTTATATATAATCTAATCACCCTAATATCGTATTTTGAATAGTATTCTTAATTTATATAATAAACAGACTCTATTGTTATTTTTATAC